ATTGGATTAAAGCCTAATGAGTTTTAAAACTATTAAAAAAAATGAAGCAAAAACAAGTAAGAAATCAAGGAGTTTCAAAGAAAACATTGAAGCTAGGTCAGGTGTGTGAATTTGAAAATAGAACTAAGATCAGTGTGAAATTAACAAGATTTTAACATGAAATCAAGAGAAATGGCAAAATTCAGTGCAAAAATGTCAAATAACATGGAAAAAAAATTCAAGTAATATAAATTTGCAATCAAATTCAATAAGGAAAATTGAAATCTAAAGTTGTTTAGCATGAAAGAAAATAAAAATGCTAGAAAGAAAATACAAAAAAAATTAAATGAACAAAAAATTAAAATCCTAATCTAAAGTCTTTCTAAAATGGTTTGCTTCCTTTCCATGTATGGGTAAGTGAGTTGTGAATTGAGCCCCAAAAAATCAACTTTCTTCATTTGGCTGCCAAGAAGTCAAGTTATTCAATGAACAAATTTATTATTAAAATCACTAGAAAAATTCTAGAAATAAGCTAAAAAAATTATAGAAGAAAAAATTGAGAAAACTATTTTAATAAGCAATGTTACTTAATGACACTAGTTTAGGCTATTTTCAAAATTTGTACAAAAAATCCTCCAAAATGTATCCAGTTTTATCAAAATTTCTCATTTTCTCTAATTTTACTTATATATGAGAAAAATGTGTATTTAGGAGTATTTTTGCTACAATTTGCAAGGAAAAGCTAATATATAAAGAAGATTACACTAAAAATGAGCATAAAAATACTAAAATTTTAGTGTAATCAAAAAATCAATTAGGCAAAACTTAAATGCTTGTTATCATCAATAAATGTAATGAAATATTAACCTCCACTACATGTCCTTACATACATTAGGACACAAATATTGAAATTTATCAATTGCAATGAAACTTTAACTCTAGTTTCTTTATCAAATGATTTTTTATCAGTTTCCTTGCTAGACAGTTTACACATAATAGTTGATTAACCTTATCACATAAGGCATTATAATTCTTTTTTTTCTAATCTATCCAGTATTTGTTAACCCCTATGGCCAAGTCTAGCATGTCAAACATTCACATTAATATTAGCATCACAAAACCATTTAATGAAAGTCCATAACGATTTGTTTTCAAAAACAAATTCATATTAGTCTTATTAAAATTCGTAACAAATTTTGGATAAAGAAGAACAGTGACAAAAATTAAATTTCATCAAATATCAAAAGTGAACAAAACATTATGTAGCATAAGGGTTTATCCACCGTACACATTTAACTTGTAGGTGTCAACGCCCATTACTTCAATCATTTGATTGTTTCCTACAAAAATATATTTTTCTCATGTCTCATGCTACATGTTTTATGGCTTATGAGTCTTTTTTATCTTGTTATATTCACAAGTAAAGTGACTCTCTTTGCTATAGATAACATGCTTGGCTTTAGCTTTATTCTTTTTAGACTAAGTTTAGGAATCATTCTCTTTGCCACTTTGACCATTTGGTCTTTTAGGAGCTTTCTCCTTGTTCCCACCATGTGGCTAGCGCATGACGCCCATAACTTTCTTTGACCATGTGCATGTCATATACACATCAACACTAGGTTTGGATGCTTCTTATACTAACTTCCTCTAATTGAAGATGATGAGAAACATCACTGAGAGTACCTATACTTTTATTATGGGTCAAGCGTACATTAAAGTACTCTTAATTATGTGGTAAGGATCGAATTATAGTTTGAACCTCTTATTCATCTGTCAAAGTGTAATCAACCTCCTTTTTTAAACAAAATTTGTCAAGGCATTCCACATCTTTTCTTTTTTATGGCAATATCATGCTATCTAAACTCATGCATGATATCAATCTTCATGCTGCTTATCAACCTAATGCGAGCTATAGAGTTTTTTCTATCCAGGCATCACAAGCCCTTGGTCCCTTATATGTTCAAATGTATTTTTATACTCAGGCTCTACTAGAATAATGTTTAGAATTTTAAGAATCTATTATTCTTCTAACAAATATTGGATTTTCATACTTCAAATTTCATAATTATCCCTATTCATTAACCATGTACTTAAATACAAAAGTCATATTCAAAGGATAATTCAATATTGAGAAACACATACACTAATCAATGCCAAGCATTAAACACATTTATTTTGCCATAGTGTCACAAATAAAAAAATGACAATCATTCACATAAAAATGAAACCAAAATATCACTATGTTGGCAATCAAATTTTATTTTTAATGTGTTTGATTATCACTTGTTCTATTTCATTATGCAAAATTTATCATTCTAAGATAACTCATTAATTAATACCTTAGAACTCCCACTAACCATAAGGTTACTTTCAATCAATATATGTTATTGATTGAATTCACATAGACAAGTTTCACAATGCATGTACATACTGAACACATGAACAAGATCTATCATTAAACATATGCATTGTTTATTAAATTATGTTCTCAATCAGTACATATCACTTGTCTAGTGACTGATAGAATCCATAAATTCCTATGACAATTCCACATTCTTATTAGCCATCCATGGAGGTCCAAGTATTTTATGCATGCCGTTATAAAGACTTAGGCTAATAAAGAAAGTCATTTTCATCTTGGTCCATTTCTCACAAAATCACAATTTTTTTTTTATCAAAGTTGTAATATTAGGACATTTCCTCTCATTGGACATCTAAAAATCTTCGAAAAGATTCTTTTCTCTAAGTATAAAAAGTGTATCCATTCAACATCGTATATATGTTTAGATCCTTCTTACATGCATGTTTCCTCATAAGATCAACCATTAATCTTGTCATTAACCCTTGATGATATAACACATAATATTATCATCATTTGGATTCGTTTGGTGCTACTCTAATTCAATTAGCAGCTTTATGGCTTTAAGCAATTGCGCCTAAGTCTTTACAATAATAGGAGTTCTCACAATCATTGTCATAATTTTTTATAAGATATATACAAGAAATTTCATGAACACACACAAGTCTCATAATAAGTAAAACATATTTTAACCATTGTTGTGCTTTCATCCTCCTAAAGTTAACCAAGAACTATTTTTTTTAATAGTTATTTTTTATAAAAAAATTCTTCATTTTTTAAATATGTTGAAAAATCACGTATGTCATTCGAAATCTCTAAAAGGATATTTGAATGCCTATTCAAAAAATTATATTAAAAATTGACATTTTGCTTAAGGCATTCTAATACCTTGTCGAGTATTCTAATGCTCAGGTTTTGAAAATTGAAAATTCAATCCAAAATAATCCAAATGACAATGGCAACTTACATTTGAATATTTCAAAACATTCACAACAACTTTCTACAATAAAATTACATGCTTTTTTGTAATACTTCCATAGATTTTTAGACACATTCTAGTAAAAACTTAAGAACATGTCTATAATTTTGATGATTCAGGACAAACATTGAAACAACCAGGAATGAAGGCAACCTGGCTCTGATACCAATAAAAGATAATGTGAAAATATATATGAACAAGATCATATATAAAAATAATGCAAAAGTATAGTAGAAGCATTTTTTTTGGACGTGTTACAAAAGTAATACTAACTAGATTTATTGGTCAGGGACAAAATCACGTATTCGAAAATTGTCCACTATTTACATCACAACTCCTTAAATACCGAAGCATGAGATTCCTCAAAGAGTTCACAAGGAAAATCTTATTCCTTTGCTTTGCCAATATATTTCTTTTCCCATCTTGTTCTCTATGTGGTTCATCACATAATCTCACATATGAATGGGACTTATCTCATTCTTAGTTTGATGAATATATTCATCCTTTTCAGTATAATCGAATTCCAAACTAAATATTGAGAGAGGAAGAGACAATTTCATTTTTCATCCCACACATGAAAAATGACCAAATACCATTTTAAAGAAAATGGGAAAGGAAGTAACAGTTTGTATTTATGGTTTTAATTAAACAACTAACACGCATCAACTACCCAAGACAATTTCCTTTTCTTAGTTCAAACCAAGAATAACTACTACATGTAGTTATTAGTCATGTAAGATTTATCCACCCATGGATGAGCATTATATTCCAACATGAGTCAATAGGGTTGGTTGAGTTAATAACATTTGAATACTTCGCTTATAAAATTTAAATTTGAGTTATGCTATCAGTAATTTTTCTTAGTAGGTATTTATAAACTCAATGTAAATCATCTTTGAAACCTATGATCTATCTTGACCTTAAAATTAAGAAACTTCCTCTCGGCCTAATTTTTTTTTCAAAGGACTATTTGAAATGAGATGTAATATAGAAAGTCTCGTACAGCAAATTCGGTAGAAAATTGAACTTTGTAATTTGCAAAACAGTACATCCCAATGGTAAAAAGTATTCTACAACAGTTAAAATACTCTTCTTTTGCCTCCTGTTTTTACCTATTGAAGTTAAAAATGACGGTGTCATTCAAAACTGTATCAGGCTTTTTGCCAGCAAAAGCAGTAAATGACTGGAATTGAATCCTTTCCTCTTCAGTAGGTCATGGAAAATGCACTCTACAAAATTAACAGTGCATCAAATAGCCATTTTTCACCGAACATTTCCGCTAACTGATTATATCGCCAACATTAAAAAAGTTAGGTGCTACAACAACACCAAACACAACAAATCATTAATTCTTAGAAGCTCTTTGTCTGAAGCTGTGATAAGTGATTTTTCTCTGTGTTTTATGTTGACATTAGATTTCCTCTCTTTTTTCTTTTTTTTCTTTCTTTCATGCTTTTCTTTGATGCCAATAATTCTCTTCCTGATGAACTTCAGTGGGATCAACCACTTACAGCTAGATCCTCTCAAGGCCTATTAATTACGAAGAAATTGAGAGCCAGCCGATTTACTGGTTGACAACAACACAGATAGTAACAGGGCATTAATAAGGAGACCCTACTGCGACAACACCAAAACAGTAAAAAGGATAGAAAATTGAAAACCCTGGAAATCAGACTGGTCTTAATATGATTGATGAATTTTTAGCTATACCAATTTCCTTTTTCCGTTTACAATCAGAATAGGATTTTCTATTAATATTCCAGGTTTATTTCAAGGGTTAATCCAACCTGTTGTTTCCAAACTGTTTTTCTTTCCAGAAAGGGTACATTAATTAACACATAAAAGAGCATCATATCGGGTATCTATGCAAATTCATGATTTGAAAAGAGAAGAAAAGAAAATGAAAAAGGATATGGCAGATACAAATAAGTAGAGGCTATGAAAATACACAGGAGAAATATAAATGAAGAGAACCGGAAGGATCAGAACTTCATGATTTTAGCAAAGTACCGATGAAACCAAAGAAGCAAACCCACCAATCAACCCAATATTTCTTGTAGCCTAAAGCTTGACAACTTCAGGGATATAAACGGGGTACCTATCAATGCAATCCATCCAAGGCCCGTCTCTTGGTGTTTTGATGGTTCTATTGCACTTCCATACGGCACTGTTACACTTGAATCCACTCCCAAAGGCTATCTGCCAAATCCTGTCTCCCTTTTTCATCCTCCCCTTTGCCTCAATGTAGCTCATTTCATACCATAACGACGAGGACGACGTGTTTCCGAATCTATGCAATGTCATCCTGGATGCCTCAACGTGCTCTGCAGAAAGCTGCAGGTTCTTTTGCAATTCATCTATGACTGCTCGCCCACCAGCATGGATGCAAAAGTGCTCAAACGCCTGCTTGAAGTCTGGAATATAAGGCTTCCACTTGGGGTTAAAGATTTTCCGGCCAATGAGAGTAAGAAGAAATAGGAGTTGCTCAGATGTTGGCAGAACCAAAGGCCCAATAGTGGTAATGTTAGATTTTAAAGCCTCTCCGGCGATAGCCATGAGATCTTTAGATAAAGATATCCCAACTTTGCCCTCTTTGTCCTCTTCTTCAAACACGCATCGGTAGGCCTTGTCATCAGCGCCTTTGTGGGTTCGAACAACGTGCACAAGGCGGTACTTGGCGCGCCACCTCTCAGAGCCGCGGTTAGACAAGAGGATTGCGGCACCACCCATGCGGAAGAGACAGTTGGGAAGGAGCATGGCTCTTTCATTTCCTTTATAGTAGTTTGGAGTGATGATCTCTGTGCTGACAACAACTGCATTAGAATTTGGGTGTACTTGGAGAAGATCGCGAGCTAAATCGATGGAGATAAGCCCCGCACTGCATCCCATTCCGGAGAGATTAAAGCTCTTTATGTTACTCCTCAGCTTGTATTTGTTGATCACCATAGCAGACAAAGATGGCGTTGGAGAAAACAGACTGCAGTTGACAATAAGAATATCTATGTCTTTGGGTTTCAGCCCCGTTTTCTTGAACAAAGAATCCATAGCTGAGAAAATAACAACCTCAGCCTCGCCTCTTGAAGCCTCCATGGTTGGAGCTGGAGGGATGTAATGAATAGCAGGAGGTAAACAAGTCTCTTCACCGAGACCAGACCTTTCTAGAATCCTCATCTGAAACTCAACGCTCTTAGGATTGTTATTCAAGATCAGCCTGGAGTGCTCCATGAAGGTAGCAAAAGGAACCCGGCAAGTGACCGGAGGCTTGTAGCATGCGTAATCCACAAGATAGATGCTTCTCGGCTTGGACATGAAGTAAACAGTGGCGATGAAGATGACAAAGAAACAAGAGCACAAGATTTGAACAAGATCAAAGTGAAGCGATTTCCATAGGTTAACAATCTCTTCGGGACCTAAACGAAGAACTTGGATGAGAATTCCAGCCATGACAGGTATTAGCATGAGTGTAAGAATGTGATTGACGAGGTACTGGTAGCCAAGCTTAACATACTTAAGCTTAACTGAGCTGGAGAAATCTGGCAAAATAGGAGGCATTTTTTGCTGAGCAGAAGAAAAAATCAAGAAGAGAAGTCAGAAAACTGTTCCTTGTGGAGAGGAAGTTGGGTGCATTAGGTGGGAGAAGAGGAAGGGGGGATTTAAAGGGAACGAGACCAAAAGCAATGAAGGAGGCAGATGAGCGGATTAAATGAAGGACTCAACGGCCACTTAACTCCAATTAATTTTTCATAACTCCCTTTACATCCTCTTTGTAACTAAATCATCCCTTTCACCAATAAGCTCTGTTTTGGTGCATCTGTCTCCCACAATTTGGTGCTTTGCTCTTTTTCATTAATTAAAAGCAGTGATGGATCCTCCGTCTCCGTTAAGTACTATATATATATATAGGCGTTTGTTAAAGTAACTTAATTTAAATTTTATTTTTCATTTTATGTATTTTTCTCGTCAAATTCAATAATATATTATATTTTAATTATTAATTTTCTCATATATATATATATAAAATAAAAAATTTATTATATATATATGACTTTGAATCACAAAATAAGAGGTAATTTTCTCAATCTTTTTTCTTAGAATATAATCAAAACATGTAATTTTTACGTGGAGCTAGACTCTTCAACCGTTAAAATATCCATTTGAAGCCATCTCGATCTATGATATATAAATTGTATATAATATAATCGTATATGATAGATATACGATCATCAATTATGAAATTTAATATTAGTGCATATTATATTAAAATTATTTGATTTTTCCCTAAATTTAATATTTCTTATTTTAAATGCAAGAAAGCAAAAGTAATTAAAAATAAATTTAAAACATAAAAAATAAGATTATCAATATTGTTCAAACTAAACAAAAGAAAAAAGACATAACTCAAGCGTCTAAAAAATATAAGAGTGAAAATATATCATAAAATTATAAAACCAACATATTTAATTAGTTCAATAACATATATATATCATAAACTTATAAACATAGTTGTGAAGATTTTGAACACAAGGTAATTGTATATAATTGTAAAATGAATACAATAGGACAATTTAACAAAAAAAAAATGTTTATAGATTTCATTGAGTGTATTTATTAAAAGAAAATTTTTAAAGGTGCATCTTCAAAATTAATCAATATCGATTCACATACTTGAAAAATGAACAGTTTTTTTATGGAAAATATTAATTAATATTAATGATACTGATTAAAATAATATTTAAATAAAGAAAAATACAATTAATATATCGCTCTCTTTTGAATTTAGTGAAAACAAGAAATTAAATGCAAAATCTTTTCTAAAATAATTATTTAATTATCTTTAATCAGTGCCTATGACAACCGTCAACTTTGTTCCAAAAGTAAAACTTTTCAGCTTTTACAATGATTTTATAGTTAAGAAATTAAAGCATTTACTAAAAATACAGTCACTAATTAATTCTTTAAAAAAAAAAACTTCACTAACTAATAGGATAATATATATTTTTAAAATATAATAAAAAATTAAAAAAGCTGAAACATATCCTCACTTATAAAATTAAAAAATTCTACTAAACTCTATGATTTTGACCTTACATTCTAGTGTTAGTTATGTCCCATACGTCCGTTCGAAGGCAAGGAAAAATAATGACTTGTCTTTGACCAGGGTGAAATATAAATTATTCACTGAAAACTAAATTACGGAGTTTAATGGAAAAACTTGCAGCCTAAATCTATGGCAGAGAATAGATGAATTTGACTTTCACAATCATAACTGCATCTCAACAAAATTTGGTGAATCCATTAATGTCCCGAAGAGAAATAGAAAGTCAAAGTAAGCCATCGGCGATCTTCATTTTCTTAGGAAAGAGGGTGACGGGACATAGGAAAGAACCTTTTTTTTTTATTATTCTGTTCGGTAAAAAAGATGACAAAAATTAATATAATAGATTAATTGCACAAAATTTATACTCTTTTCATCGCAAATTGGTCGAGAGTGTTACACTTTCATGGAATTAAAAAAAAATAATTTTAGTATATTTAATTTTTTTTATATAAATTTGAAGTTTTATAATTTTTAATATTAAAAAATTTAAAAAAATAAAAAATTTAAATGTAAAAAAAAAAAAAGAAAACATAATTTTAAAAAATTAAAAAATGAGAGGCAAAAAGTATTGCTAGAATCTCAATCGCTTAATTAAAAAATTTCATCATTAACCCTTTTCATTCCTTTTTACTCTAAATTAAAAAGACAACGATTTACATTTTAGTGCTGTTGTTATTTTATTTATTGAGAAATTCTTTAATATATATTAAATTTTCATAAAAATATAGATAAATTATTTTTATAGGTCAAATTATGTTATATAACAGATATTTATATTTTAGTTAAATAGTAACTTTAATTTATTTATCTTAATATGTTCAAATTGGATTCATATACTTCATTTAATATAGAATTTAATCAAATTATTAACGTTTAAATTTTTTTAGTTAAAATTGATGGCATGTCATTTTCATTTTTCTAATGTAATATTTATGCTTATGTAACTGTTGACTTTGCTAATGCGTAAAGTCTATGTGGTTAAAGATTAAAATTTTTTGATAGGTTATCATTTTTTCACATAAACTTTTTTCAAATTATACGGTTCGTCTCTATATTTTGATTAAATAGTGAAATTAATTCTTCTATCTTAACGTGTATTCAAATTCGATAACTAATGTCAATTAATTATCAAATTTAAGATTTGACCTAAAATAAGCAAAATAAAACTAAAATAAAAGATAAAAAAGCATTTTAATGCAAATAGATTGAGTCATAAACAAAGTCAAGTATGGGTCAACACGCGAAATGTACCAAACATGTCTTCTGAAATGGTATCATTTCAAATTGTTGCAAAATTTTGAAAAAAAAAATAACTTTTTAAAATTTTTCTTTTTTTCCTCTCTCATCCTTTTTTTTTTCTTACTTTTCTTTACAAGCCTTATTCAACAAATTCATATTTCAATAGAATTTCTAGAAACCAATGATTGAAAAATTCAACGATTGTAAAAAAAAATTTATCCAAAAAACCAAAAAATCCTCAATACTTAAAAATTGATTGCTGTTGAATTTTCAAAATTTTTTCAAATCAATCTTTCCAATAAAATTTGCATAGTTTCCTTGTTTTTTCAAATTTTGATTTTTTTTTACTTTGACTTCTTGACTTTCACTAATTAAACATTAAAAATAAATAAATAATGAATAATAAATAAAATACTTTTTGGGCTTTTAAATTTAGGCTTAAAATCCAAGTCCACAATTAAACCCAATTAATCTAAAAATGATTTTAGAACCTAATGTTGAGATGAAATTTGAAACCCATTTAATATCAAAAAAATTTTTGAAAAAAATAGAATGCCTACAATTACTTTTATTATTGATTGTGTATATGGGTTTGTTGATTATGTGTTTCTTGATCTAACTTTTAAGTTTCTTTCATTTTAAAAGTTTTTTATTTTTTATATTTCAAAAATACTAAAAATAGAAATTAGCAAAAAATGAAAAATAAAGAAAAGATATAATAATTCAAATATCCAAAAAAAATTTCTTTTTTTTTAATATTCTATTTTTTAGTTTATGTTGGACTTATAATCTAATTTGAGATTAACCCAATTTGTCAAATTAAATCCAATTAATAATTCAAATATCCAAAAAAATCTAAATATGAAAAAAAAATCTCACGGCCAAATTAATAATTTATGTGTTATTTTAGGTCAAATCTTAAATTCGATAATTCATTAATGTTTAGGGATCGAATTTTAACATACATTGAAGTAAAAGGATTAATTCCTCTATTTAACCAAAATATAAGAACGAGTTGTACAATTTCAAAAAAGTTGACATGGAAAAATAATGACGTATCAAAAAATTTTGTCATATCATCATCTTTGATCACGTGAACGTTACACCTCATCAAAGTCAAAGGCCACGCAAGCAAAAAATGGCACATCAAAAAATTCAAAATGCTACATCATCAATTTTATCAAAAAAAGTTTGAATCATCAGCAACTGGACTAAGTTCAACAATTAAATGAAGTATAGGGATTCAATTTGAACACATTAAAATAAAAGGACTAATTCTACCATTTAACTAAAGTATAGATATCTATTTTATAATTTGACATTTATTATATTATATTCAAAAGTTATAATTTTTTTAAGACAAATGAAAGAAACATAAATGACGAAAATTTAAATATATTTTTAATAAAATAAACTAAAAATCTAAGAAACAAAGATGATAACAATTAAAATTTAAACCTTTCACAATAGATGTTTAATAAATCAAATAATAAAGGCTCTTCAAGAATATTATTGAGATTTTTTAATACTCTTAAGTTGAAAAAAAATTTTAAAAATTTTTATCAAATTAAAAGAGAAAATCTAAATTTTTTTTTAATATTTAAACATTAAAATTAAAAATAAAAGACCATTTAGCAAAAACTTTTAAGATAATCTAAAATTGATTGGTATATCTTTATGATAGGCATTATGGGGTGCTATAACTTTCCTCGTACCACTATAAGAAGATATTTTGGTAGCCTTATTTTGCAATAACTGAAAATATCATTACGAAATCTTTTTATATTTACAATGACATTTTATAATCATTGCTTAAGTGAATTTTTAATATTTTAAACATTGATAAATTTTGTCATTGTGATATCCTATTATATTCATAACAACAAATTAAAGTTGTTATGAAAACTTGTTTTATTTGCAAAACTTTTTAATGTTTTTACTTAATTTATTTTTTAATATTTTATACAACAACAATAAAGTTGTTACGAAAATTTTAATCATTTTTTAGATGATAAAAAGTTATTGTTACAAAATGGTATAATATTTTGCAATGACTTATCATAATCGTTGCTTAATTTAAGTATTTTATATAATGATAATTTCTGTCATTTCAAATTCTCATTTTATTCATAACAACAAAAAAATTTGTTACGATATTTAGTTATTTTTCCAACAACTTTACGATGTAGTTGCTTAATCAAAATTTTAATATGTTATACAATGATTTTATGATGTCATTACGAATTAAGTTTGTTGCTTGGACTTACAATGAAATATAACAAGTTCTAGGC